TTTTCTGCGAAGGGTTTGATGACCAAGCTTCTGAGAAGTTTGGGATCGCTGCTTGTTTCTGCTTCGAGGAGTTGCTGACATGGTGTCCTCGAAAACTTAACAGATCTCTTGGGGGAAGCTTATTTGTTGTGAATTTCTTACCTACACAGCAGCTATGTAAAAAGAGTTGAAGAAAACGTTTTTAACACCCTGCTCCTGGGTATATTTTGGTCTATATACTTTTTTTTTTTCCCACCAAAAAAAATGGTGGAGGAGAATGCTTTTGCTGAGACAGTACTTTGCTCTTTCTCTGTTGTTCTGTTTTACCCACAGCTCCCCCAGGGAAGCTCTACCGACGCTTGAGATGAGCCTTATAAAAATGGCTCATTATATTTGGGCTTGTTCCTGCGTTACGGGACTGCCACTCGGGTTCTTGAAATTTGAGAGATTTGTGTGAATCAAAGTTCTTTGGGTTTTTTTTTTGTGTGTGTGGTCGGAGCCCAAGTTCCTGAACTAAGACAGCCCCGTGGCCCTGCGAGGCAGGGACCATCCCTTACACACCGCTGCTGGCAGCAGTGCGGGGCCTCCGCGTAAATATTGCTTGGGACAGCTGCGGTGGCAAGGGACAGCTCGAGTCCCCGAGGTTGCTCCGTGCAGAGCCGAAGGCACCTTTACGGAGGGATGTGGAGATGCCTCTGTGTGGCGCTGTGAAAACGTGGGGTGGGTTGTGGCAGCTGGAGGAGTCACCTGGTCCTGCGTGGTCACAGCGGTGCTTTGGACGTGCGCTGGTGATAGCTGGGAGCGTGTCCGTGCGAGCCTGTCCCGGGATAACCGAGGCTGTTGGAGTGCGGGACCACCGAGGCAGGACTTGGTGCGGATGCTGCCGCCAGGGATAACGGGAAGATGCTGCGAGAGAGGGGGACAGCAGCAGCGTGTGAGGTGTCCCAGGGTATCTCCCTAGGAGGCAGTGCCGGGGGGTGTACAGCACCCAAAGGGGTGCTGGGCGTTGCCTGGAGCAGGGCTGGGGAGGGAGGCTGGGGTGGGCTGCGACTCCGCGCAGGAGGGAGCACGATGGAAATGGAGAAGGAGAAACATTTTGCATTCTACCCATCACCCCTCCACTGAGGAAATGAGGCTTTGGGCATATACTGTGGATCATCCTTTCTACCTAGGTTCTTCCCGTCTCCATTTCTCTACAAGGCAGGCGACGTCAGGGTTTGTTCGGGTGGTTTTTTTTTTAGTCTTTTGTCCCTTGCTTTCCAAGTTGTGCAGATCCTGCGTAGGCTAAATGGGGAGAGCAGAGGGGAGGAGACTTGTGTAATGAGGGAGGAGGGGAGAGGGCCTGGGCTGGCAGTCGGTCTCTCCTTAAGAATATAAGGCAGGAAACAAAGGGTGAGCTGCACATGGAGAGCAGCGGGCACCTGGCAGCGCTTGGCCCTTCAATAACCTGCCGCACATTCGGCTTAATCCGCGCCCAAAAAAGTCTGAATAAGACATGAGGGTGGCTCGGGCTTGGTCCTACCAGCCCTCGGGCCTCTTGGGGTTCGGTTTGAGGCGGGCTGTGCCAGCAGCGAACATGTTGGAGCTTTTGATGGATGAGCATGTAAAATCGTTTGCAGCTTGGCAGTCGCCTTGCTTTTCGTAACACGGGGAAGCGTGAAAGACCTTAATTCAGGGACTGAGTGCAGCGCGCTCGCAGTCTCGGTGCCTGCAGTGTTATTTAGAAGAGAGGTTGGTTTTTGCAGCTTTGGACCGAGATGCCTCTCTTCTGAGTCTCTAAAAATCTTTGTAGATCAAAACGAGGAGGGCAGAGCTTTTGCTCTGGAGTGGAAGGAGATGAATTTCGCATTTTGTGACGTTTAAAGGGCACACACGTTCAGAATGCATACGTGCTAGTTTACTGTTTCTGTGCCTTGTGATGTGCAACAAGCAATCCCGCTGCTCAAGTTGGGGGTGGGGGGTGTTTGGCTGCCTTTTTCTTTTTTTTTCGTCCCCCTTTGACCCTCCCCAGTGTCTGTAGGTGCCCTCGATGCCTGTGTCCTCCCAAGCATCTCCTGCCAGAGGGACCCCAGGAGCTGCCGAGCGCACCAGCCGCTTCCTTTCTGTCTGTGTTTACTGAGCAAGTTACGGTTAGCCTGGAGTTGTAGCTTTGTTCCCCGCTCTGCCATTGTTCCAGAGGAGCTTGGTACGGTATTGCCTTTTTCAAGACATAACCAGAGTAAAAGTTTTTCTTCTGAACATTTCAGTGCTTTTCCTTTGGGCCAAGCTTCCCCGGGAAGAGACAGGACTCTGAGTCATTTCAGGTGGGTTTTTTTTTAGACGTATGTGGACTTTGAGCAGCTTTTCAGATCCATTGTAAAACTACTAGAACACGTACTGAACAAAAAAGCTGAAGGGCTTTGTTTGTTTCAAATATTGTCGCTGAGTGTATCTGGCTCTGCTGTTCTGGAAGTTACTCTGTGCTTTTAAGTGCACAATTCACTGTAATGTATTATTTGTAAAATTCCGAAGACACTAAACAGTAAATTGGAGCTGCGGATCTTGGAAGAGGAAGCAGCGTCATGTTCTTCGTATAGTTGGAGTTTCCCTCGGCTTCACTGACGGCAGCGATGGCTCTGGGCTAAAAGCTGCTGGAGTTGGTTATTCCTCTTTCTGGACTGAGGCATGCAACTCCCTTGATATTTTTAAAAAGTGGTTTCAAATTTGAGTTTGTCCCAGAGACCCAGTCTCTGTTCCTGCCTGTTTATTCCTACCTTCTGTGTCATCTTGTGGCCCGAGTGTGCGGCTCCGTAGTGACCTGGTCCAGCTGAGGAACAACCAGCGATGAAGCCTTTCCTCCTCTCCTCCCTGCCCGCTAAAGGTGGATTATTTTCCCCATCTGGTTAATGGTGCACTTGCACGAACGCTCTCGTGCTGGAGCACTGGTGGTGGCAGGGAGCAGATACGGGCCAGGATAAGCAGCTTGGGAGCAATCAGGGCCAGGAGCTTCCCAAGCAGATGCTGCAGGGGGATGACCACAAAACCTTTCAGTCCTTTGAGAGACTTTTTCAGATTTCAGTTTTAGTATAATTCATATTAACCTTGTCTCTCTGGTTTTGGAGAGCTTTTAATACTTTGGTTCTTTCTGTTTGTTTGTTTGTTTTTTTTTAATCTGGGTTGGTTTGTTGTTGGGTTTTTTTTTGCATACACACTCTGACTTGGACTAATTGGTTTGCCACTGTCCTGTACTAGAAATTCTGGGCCTATGCGGTTTTTTCAGACCTTTTCCCCTAATATACACTTTGGGGAAGCAGATAATGTGTTGAAAAGAGGCTTTTTCCTCTGAGCTTTTTTTCCTTTGAGGAGACCCTGGAGAGGTTGTTAGTTATCTTACCAGGGTGAACACCACCACTGTGGTAGGGCGGGGTCTGTGCTGCTGAAATCGTTAGTAATACTCCTTTCCTCCCATCCTGTGACAACTTCGTTATTTCAAGTTATTCTTGGCCTTCAAGTAGAAACCTTGCAACACGCAGCCTGGCTTCAGGAGTGACAGAAGGTAACCTTAATCACGGAGCTCCCACTGTCCTCAGGAAGCGTTTGAAGCTCATTGGCGTTGATTTGCCCCCGGCAGGTAGATGCCGTTTCTCTCCTCAGCAGAAAAAACAGGGGCTCTGCCATGTGGGTACTGCTTGTAGTCCTCTGAAGTTCAACGCTTGGATATTGCGAAGCTGCTTCGAATGGGTTTGTTGAACTCACAGGTGCCACCTCTGTGTGCAGTGGGCAGCCTGTTAGCGAGGTGTCACGGGGATGTGACCTTACGTCTTCTAAAGGAGAGCCTTGGTACCCCGAGTGTGGAGGGTGTTGGTAGGCTAGGGAGGAGATCACCCCGCTTCCACGCCAGGTGGCTGAAAAAAAGTGTTCTAAGGCTACTAACTGCTCTTTGAAAGAAGGAAATGGATAAATAGGGGTGGGGTGGTGGCTGGCATCTTTGGTCTTAAAATGCCTTTCATCCAACTAACCTGTGTTCAGTGGGATGGATGTACGTGGAGTGACCTTCTACCAGATGGGCACTAAGGTTGCAGATGCAAGTTGCAAGGTGCAGAAAACCAGAAATGAGAGAAATGAAGGGAATAAAGGGGCGTTGGTGTGACGCTAAATGAAAACATGGAGAATACTTTGTGCTTCTTGTCTGTATAGTTCTGCACTGCAGTCATAACATTGACTTATTTTTGCTTTATGCCTAAAAAGTAAGAGTTCACCTAGCAGTGCTTTTTGTAGTCATGCAAAAGGTGATATTATTAAAAAAAAAAAAACCACCAACAACAAGGGGTTGGAGTAATTTATGCCTGCTTGCCAGGTTGTAGCCTTTCACCTGAAACCAGGTATTTAAAAAGAATCTCTCTTCTTGTTTTGCCATTAATGGAAAGTTTTCCAAGGTTTTGACCTTTATCTTTGCATCACTTAAGCTTTGTAATTCTTTGCTTTGCAGCATGTCAGCAGTTAACTTCTGTTCTTTCTCCTTGCTGCTGTGTAATCCTGAAGTTCAGTGTTCAGAAAGCTCCCAAAGGCTTGTAGCCAAACCTGAATGTGCCATTCCAGGGGGGGCAAAGGAGTCTGAGGAGACTTTTGTGGTGCTGGTCAAACGTAACGCTCCTGGGAGAAGAAATTATGCTTGAAAATGGGCATTTATTATTTGAGCAACTGAGTGATAAGTACATCTGTGCTGCTATCTCCCATGTCAGTTGCTGTGTGAATTAGGCCATGTTCATTTATAGCTGCTCTGAATCTTCCTCTCTACGTATAAAAACGTTTTAACGTGGTCTGCTCTTACTATTCCACAGTAATCAGGAGAAGGAGTTAATATGAAAGCAATAATATCCATTTAGAGTTTAACATGAGCTTCGTTCTCAGAAGTTCAGCCCACATTGTTTTTCATGAAGGAGACAAAAATTGCCTCTTGTGAGTTGCAGTGAGCGCTGGTGCCGAAGTCCAGAAGGTTTTAATTCCCCTCCTTGTTTCTTTTCTGTGGTGTTTTTTTTTTTTTCAGCCCAAGTGGTAAAAAGTTCCGAAGCAAGCCCCAGCTGGCACGCTACCTGGGGAGCTCGATGGACCTGAGCACTTTTGACTTTCGCACAGGAAAGATGTTGATGAATAAAATGAACAAGAACAGGCAGAGGATGCGCTATGACTGTTCCAACCAAGCCAAAGTAAGACTAAGATGCAGTGGCAGCTTTCCCCTTTCCGTCTGCTGTTGTGCTGGCCAGGCTGCCTCCCAGAACAGTATCTGTGATAGCGTGAAAATTCAGCATTTTGTAATTAAAGTGTGAGACTGGAGTTGTATGAGATAACGTCTCTGTTACGGGGCGTTGGACAAATATTGCAACGCACTGATTCTTCCAGGGTGCTGATACCGTGGGAGAACGTTGCGGAACTGCTAAATCCTCTGTACAGCAGGGCTGGAGAGAGGGCCGGCATCTCTCTCTCTTCCCCTCCTGGAATGTGAGATCGCTTTCTCCAGTGCGATCTCCTCCAGAGCCCCAGATCTCCAGCTGACTCCTGTGGCTCTGCAGCAGCTCTGCTCCGCGCTGGCATCTGGTTTGGGGGAGGAGGGAAGCGTGGCGTGGGGCAGCGGGGACGAGGAGGTAGTGCAGCCTCCGCAGGTGACTCCCTGGAGCTGTGCCAGGCCACGCTGGTTTCTCGGCTTTGGAATTGAGTTAAGGAAGGGATGAATTTTGGGCAAAAAGCTGAAGAGGCGAGAGGATGGCAAGGTCTATTTGTAGAACAAAATAAAAGAGCCTGTGTTTGGCACCTAGTAATTTTGATTGTTAAGGTTTAGTCGAGATTACAGCGACATTGCTGCGCTGCCTGCCTGGATAGCGATGGGCTCGATTCGCTCTTAAGTATCTTCATCAGATGGTAAAAGCTTTTGTAGAACTCAGCAGCTTATGTCTGTGCACCTAAACGTTAAATGGGGAAAACAGCGTAATGCTTATTTTCTAAATAGGGGAACCAGTCGAGACTCATCCTCACTGGAGTGATTACAACATCTACGTAGAGCACGAGGTGTTGTAGTGATGTTTCAAAAGAAACATGCCTTGCTGCAGAGACCAGTGGCTAACACACGTCTCATCGGCCAAAAATTCTGCCCAGACCTTTCAATAAATGTACGAATAGTTACCGTTGGCTTATAAAAGGATTAGCACACAGATGGTTCGGAATATTTGTCCTGAATACATCTTTTCTACATCTCATGAATAAATATGTTAAGCAGACGTGGTGTCTGCATCCTCAAGAACAAAGTATGTCCTACAGCCATTTCAAGACTTGCATGTTAGATCTGGGGAATGAAGAACGATCTTCCTCTGTTTCCACTAACATAAAGTGCAGTCACGTACTAAAAGCTTGATTGTTATGAGCCCTGTTTAAAAACTGAGTTTTGTTAAGAGCTGAAGGTAAAAAAGCGATCAAGGTTCCAGCTGTAGTGATTTATTTATTGGCCTCCACAACTGGGTTTAAACCAGAATGGTTTCTGGATTCACAAAACTGTCTCTAAATCCCACTTCATATTTTTGCTGATTATTGCAAATATCATGTCGGAATCTTGTGGTTTACAAGTGGCTTGTCAAAGTGCAAACTCAGTGTTCTGGCCCCTTAATTCTGTCAAAACTGGGATAAACCCAGAGTGTATAAACTAGAATGAGAGGAGGCTAGTATGTTAAGTAGAATGTGAAGGAGTGGAAAGCTTTGTTTAATTTTGATAGGTCTAAGGTGAGATTGGAACGTACTTACTTACGCATTTTTAGCAGTCTAACTCACGCAGCTTGAGATCTGACAAGTTTTCAACTCTGTGAACTCTTCTCTTCCCTGCTGTACATCTTTGTGGCTGTAGTAGCATTTTAGCAGATTGAAAATATTTTTTGTGGGCTTTTCCCCTCCTTTTGTTTGCAATTTTTAGGGCAAGCCTGATTTGAACACAGCCCTGCCTGTCAGACAGACAGCCTCCATCTTCAAACAACCTGTCACAAAGATCACAAACCATCCCAGCAATAAGGTGAAGAGTGACCCTCAGAAAGCTGTGGACCAGCCCCGGCAGGTAAGGCTTGCAGCTTAGTAGCTTCCTCTCCAGAACTAAGATAATTCTGGTTTTGCTGCTGGGAGGGTCCCAAAATAAACCACTTTAATTTTGCGATGCTGAACCAATAGTCCGTGGCATTTTGAAGTCTCTGATATTTCAGAAACAATAACTTACGGTGCTCCCAGCTTTTAAAACCGGAGGAATCCCCATTTCCAATACATAGTTCATACGCTGTCTGCGCTGGGTTTTATAACTAGACTCCAACCTTTGTTTAAATTACAACTCTGTTGTGGTTGAGCCTTCATTTCCTTAATGCTGAAATTAAGTATTACCTGCAAATTTAGACAGACATCATAACCACTTTAGGGGACATCTGCATTGTAATTAGAACTGCTGTCAAATGTTGCAATGGTGTAAGAATTCTGTGTTTCAAGAAGTCCCTGTTCCTGTACAGACCACACACGATGTGGTGTTTGTGAGGTACCCCCTGCATGGGCCTGTTTTTCAGATGTGTGTATCATTAGTAGTTAACTCTGCCTGTGTGAACAAGGTCATAAATGCACTTGGCATGTCATTATTAATACAAAATCCATGTGGTTTTCTTCCCATACTGTGTATTCAAAAACAAGAGAATACACCAAAGTTAAAGGAAACCTTTCAGCTTGATTTCATCTAGCGAAAGGATGCCAGAAGTGTGCTTAGGACACGTGTGGCTTTGAAGTTGGGCGCTGGTAAAATAAGAAGGACCCGTTCAAAGCAGCCTTGGGAAGACATTCTCATGTCAGTCATGTTACCTTGGGCCGGCAGCCCGTTGCCTCCACGGAGCTCACTCCAGGGATTCTGTGACTCCTGCCCTGTAGCGAGTCCATCTTTACCACTTTTGGAAACGAGAGGTTCAGCTTCCTCAGGCTGTTCAGGTGCTGTCGTTGGGGTCATTTATCAGTACGTTTTAAACTCTCGCAGCTCTGGTTGAATTAAAATACATCGTTCCAAGAGGGAAGGTGATCACAATAAAATTTAAAAATACCCTTTCACATTGAAAACCTTTTCTGCAAACTTAAGAACTACCTTTATGAAGTGTGAGAGAGTTCGAAACGGAGTTGAGTGGTTTGTTGTGGTGGTTGGGGTGGGATTTTTTTTTTGTTGGTTTGTTTTTGTTGTTTTTTTTTTAAATGGCTCGGTAGGGTTTTAGCATGGTTTCCTAAGGAAGTAGAGCATGTGTTACAAGAACAGCACGTTGCTAGTCGTAGAAACCCCTTGGCTAGTTAAGATGCTAAAAGAGGCCACTAAAGTTACGACACTGATCTGCAGAACTGAGCTGAGTAGAGATTCGTATCCCTGTTGTGGAAGAGGTTGGTCTGTGCGCGCAGACTGATGGGTGAGCGCAGTCTGTTGGACAGCAGAGATCAGCCCCGCTACGCAACGGTGTCGTAATCTGCCCTGTCTAGTTTCACTGCTCACGTTACTACTTGTTGTACTGCAGCTTCCTGCACTCTGCTTGTGCTTTCCTTGTGTAATCCTTTTTCTTTTTGTGACAACATTTGGAGTCTGTTTTCTGAGAAGGTCCTTTAGAGGTTTTTATGTGTATATAAATATATATGTGTGTGTGTGTGATATATATGTACACATATTGGTTTATATATTTAATTTTTGATTATATAGCATAGAATAGGGCAAACTTGCTCTTTCTTGTGCCTTTCTCTGCATTATCCATCTAAGAGTCTGTTAAATTACAGCTTTAAAATATTTTACCAGACTGCGATATGTTTTAACCTCTGGTTAGGAGACTCCAGATGTTCAAAATTTGGAAGCAGTGCTAAGCCCCATCATTTGTTGGCTTAAAATTCACCGATTTGAAAGCCATAGGCTAGAGAATATCCAGCCTGTGAGCTTTGGCTGTCACTGTCCTTATTCCCCGTTTTGGGAGCAGAAAAGGAATGTGGGCTCAGTGGCACTCGAGTTTTGACAGGCATGAAAAGGGGACGTGTGGACTGTTTGGGGTAAGTTCTTAGTTCCTCAAAACCTAGATACAATTGCTTTCTTGCCACACAGATGGTACTCCTGCTATTCATTGATCGTCCTTAGACATGTAGGTTGAGAGCTGAAGGTGTGTCGGGGTGAAGTGTCTTGACTTCCCACCAAACCATGCGTTCACGTGCTCTTCAGCGTGAGGAGAACCTGTGATTCAAAATACAGTAAAGGACCAGACATGGTCTCGTGAGAAACTGCTAGAGAGGAATAAAATAATGCTTTGCCTTGGGAAGAGCTTGGAGGCAATTCTGGCATTCTGTAAATTCTGTGGTATATGTGCGACAGCGAGAGAGGAACGGGGGTGCAAAAAGGTCTGCCCCGCGCTGTGGGCGCTTCGGGGAAAGCCAGCGAGCCTTGTCTGGCGGTCCAGGTCAGAAGCAGTGAAAGTACCAGGCCCTGGAAGAAAAGAAAGTCTTGTTCAAGGCAGCAAGTCAGGACAGAGTTGTGGTGGGGCTGCCTGGCAGCGAGGGTTGTTCCCTGCTCTCAGACCTGGCAGACCCCTTCTGTGGTAAATCCAACCTAAAATTGTCTGCCGCCGTGTCCTCCCCTCTCTGGACAGCAAGCTGGTGCTTTGTGTAGTTGTCAATTCCATTTCTGCTTTGTGCCAATAAACGCTTTCTTTGATGTCAGCTCTTCTGGGAGAAGAAATTAAGTGGACTGAATGCTTTTGACATTGCAGAGGAGCTGGTGAAAACAATGGACCTTCCAAAAGGTTTACAAGGTAATTGGAGTCTGCCCTTAACTCCAGGGTGGCATTTTGATCCCAGTCGGCGGTGATCTGAAGGTGTTGTGTCTGACCTCCTCGTGCTCCGGCGCTGCGGCCCGTTCCTGCTGCAGCAGGAGCTGTCAGCGCTCCGGCTGGAAGGCTCGCTGCCCTTCGGCCTGAGGAGACACTGAAGTGAAGCTTCTTGACTTTTTTTTTTTCCCCGTTAGTGTTCGTTTTCCAGAAGCATTCCATTCCCAATTTGTGGTTTCGGTTTTTTGGGGATTTTTGTTGGGGTTTGGTTTTTTTTTTGTGTAGCAGAATGAGGAACTGATCTTGGTTTAAATAACTTTGGAGGGAGTTGTACAGGTGCTGTTAGAAGGGTTAAGGACTGAGACTCAGGTTGGTTTAGCTTTTGAGATGACAGAACGTGCTTTGCCATTAAAATTTAAATAATGCCTGTGTCCTCATTTGCTGTTCTTTGTCTTGTGCAGTGTTAATTATCCCTTTTCCTCCCACTTGCAGGGGTTGGACCTGGTTGCACTGATGAAACCCTCCTCTCTGCTATAGCCAGTGCTCTGCACACTAGCACCATGCCGATCACCGGGCAGCTGTCTGCGGCTGTCGAGAAGAATCCTGGGGTTTGGCTGAACACCTCACAGCCACTTTGCAAAGCATTTATGGTGACAGATGAAGATATTAGGTATTAACTAGAAATGTCACGTGCTGTCTTGGAACAAGGTTTTTTTCTGGTAAAACAGCACGCCTTTTTTTTTTTTTCACCCCTCAATGGCACATTTAAATGTCCGATGGAGCACTAGCACTGTGGCTTGCTGAATTGATTTGAATGCCTCTTTATCAGCAGAGTAGAAAAAACCCTGTTACACGAAGCTGCTCTCCTACAGGCATGTGCTTAAAGCCCATTATTTTTTATTTTGACCATGCTCAGTTACTCTGAGGTTTCAGTTCGTGTTTGTTTTTCGTGTCAGAGTCCATCTCCTGTCACTGAACGAGGTGTCTGAATGCGAGTAACCTCGATGGAGGCACCTCTAAGCAAAGAAGGTTTTGGAGAAATCCTCAACAGTGCGATTCGGTTCTCTTCACCTTGCTCTGCGTCAGCACGGGACCAAATGCAAGCACTGACTGCCACAAGGGTGCAGTTTATTTAGCTAGAGCTTGCTTTCAGGAGCAAGTTATGTTGTGAAAGCAAGACTGGTCGAATTCAGCTTTAAGCACTTGGTAGAGAACGGAATACACCAAAGGCTGTAACCTGAAAGCACGCTGCTCTGCATTCATTAACAGCCTGTAAAGGTGGTACTTGATTTGGCTGGTTGATAAATCTTTTTGAATTACAAAAAATACGGGGGGTTTTGTGCTTCGTTTATAGAGGAATGACCAAGAAAAACAGTCTGTTTATAACTTTATGATTTGCTATGGCTGAGATGAAATAGCAGTCCCGTGAGGCACGTGTTGTTGATCGCTTCTTTACTTTACTATGGCTTTGACAGAAAAGGAGCTGTAAAATTTAAGGAGAATTTTAACTTAAAAGGAGAATGAGCAAAATGATTGAAATGGTCAGAAACTTAATTTTCTCCAGTCTCATTTTTGGAAATCTGAGCAGGGTAGGCTGACCTTTTCTTCTTTAAATTAATATTAGTAGTAGGAATTACAAAAGGCTCAAGTCAGCTGCTAGATGAGGCAAATTTCAGCCAGAATTAAAACCAGTACAATCAATGCTAAGGCCTTGTAATGGAAAGTTTTGGACAACTTTTTAAAGTGTTTCTTTCATCTTCACTTGTAGTATAATGCCAGGAGAGTTTTTTCCAATGCAGTTCTTAGAGGGCTCTTTCAAAGCCACGCTGGTCTGCCCAGCCTCACGTGTGAGGGATTTGAGATTCCTTTGCCTCGAGAGAGGCAGCTTTGAGGACTGATGTCGGTGTTCCTTGGTTTGGGGCAGGAAGCAAGAGGAACTGGTGCAGCAGGTGCGCAAGAGGCTGGAGGAAGCCCTGATGGCTGACATGCTTGCCCATGTCGAGGAAATAGCGAGAGATGGGGAAGCTCCTTCAGAGAAAGAAGGAGGCGAGGAAGAAGGGGAAGAGGAAGAGGAGGAGGAGGAGCAGGACCATGACCAGGAGATGGAGAATGTATAGTCCAGGTAATGTGAAGCGTCCTGTCTCACCTTAAACTGTACTTCAGTGAAGGCAGAAATGTTTTCAGAAGGAATCTATATATATTGACATCTCTTTGCTTCTTAGCACACACTTTTACAGGGGTAGTAACCGTGCTTTCAGGAAGAAATGAAATATTTGGATGTGTGTGATGTCTGGTGGGGGCGTGCGTTGTCGTGGAGCGTTCTGGGCCTTGTGTCTGTGTCACGTGGGTGCGTGTCTCACCAGAACGTGTGTGTGAGCGCTTGAAGGATTCTGGCTTGACCGTGGATTGGTTCTTAAATTTGTCTTGTGATGCAATTTTTTTTTCCCTCTATTTATTTATTGATGATTTCCTGTGATAGGCAAGAGGACACTGTGGGCAGAAAGGACCGCTGCCGTCCTACGGGCTCAGTTTCTCCCCCTGCCTGCCTTTTTCTCTCACTTTCGTGTTTTTAGCACGTGCTTTCTCGCAGGGTGTATTAGAGGAGGGCACGTTTGTGGAATTTTTGAAATCATGCTTGTAGCAAGTTAGAAAAAGGCAGCCTGACCATCAAAAGAGGGAAGCTGCTAAAAAACTTCGTACGTGGTGGGAATTTATAAACTGAAAGTAACAGAAGAACGTATATATATTCAAAACCTGGAAACATCTGAGAAGTTTAAGGTAGCATAACAGCAGTAACTACAGGATTCACAGAAATGTGCCTTTATGTTGTGCACCCCTTAAAAGTATCACAAGAGGCTTGCTGCTTGTTTTCAAGTATATCTCTGCCTCTCACTTGTGCAGTGGAACTTCTTAAAGATGTAACTAGAATTTTGCTTTATTGTCTTGTAAACCAAAATAGCTCTGAATAATGAATCCTTACGAAGCAGAATAAAGCAGGCAGGTGAGGCCAAGCCAAGATACACCAACAGGATCTCCCTTAAATGTTCTGCGTTGCGCTAGACGGGGACGGTGCACCGTGCTACGAAGCAGAGCTTTTCCTGGCCTGTTCCTTTGATGTAACCCTAGCCAGGAGCACTGCGCGTATTGTCAGTGGAGCTCAGGCAATGAGATGAAAACAGAACTCACTGATTTTAATTTTTGATCATGTTAAGTTTTAGCCTAAGAAAAGCAATTAGTGTTCTGTCACTGAAATAGGATAGCCAATACCCTGGGTGCTTCATTACTCCAGAGCCTGTGGGGCTCAAGAATCAAGAATGTGGAGGGGAAAAAAGGGAATTTTTAGGATGAATAGCAGAAGAAAAGCCCCTTTGGAGGGAGTGGCAGCTGTATTTCAGGTGGAAGGAAGAGTGATTTATGTTAAGCCATCCTTCAGGCTGGAAGGTTGATTATAACGTGAAATCTGTTTGGCCTTTGGAAGATCTTATATCTGGGCTCTATTATATTTTCCTGGTTTACCCTGTCACTAACAGTAGCTTTATTTGGACACTGACTGCCTTGCATTCCTTTCTACTACAAAGGTCTGGCAACAGCGAAGAACCAGAACAAACTGGTGAAGGTGAGAAACAGGAGCTAAAGAAATGGATATGTTATGGCCATGGTACTTTTATTCTTTTAAGGGCTTGCTTGCTATGAAGATACAAAAAGTTCTTACTGACTTACAAGGTCTTTTTTTCTCTTTCTTCTAGGGAGTTCCATCTAAGAATTCCCAGTATAAACCCTATCAGCAGGGTCAGCACAACCATTTACAAAGCCAAGAGTGTCTGCCAAGTAAATCGCACCAACAATCCAACCGTACTTAGGAGAATTTTGATGTACACTTCAGGAGAACATTGAGAAGCTGATGGTTCTTTAATTGCTGGGTAGTTTTGAAGATGGAACTTCACTAAACTCTACTCCCCCTCCTTTTTCTAAAGGGGTAGGGTAATTGGGAATGCAAAAGTGGGAGGGAATAAAGGAATATAAAATGGTGGGAGGGAAAATACTAGGAACCAAATTCCCTGTCCTTTTTTTTTGTCGTTGTGGGTCAGTGATAGGTGATACATTTTTAAGCTTTTCTATCAAAGTACCTTTAACAATGACCCATAGGAACAATTTTCTCTCTTAACACAAGTGAGAGAGATGCTGTTTCACTCCTTGGCTACTCTGCTGTAGGCTACCTGTTTGTACCAGACTGTAGGGAGGTCATTTTATGTTGTGGATTGTCATTCCATGTGTCAGGTCGAGTCACTGAATTTCCTTTTCCTCGCAAGACCACATTGGTCTTGGAAGTGTCGTCTCAGAGATGAACTGCCAGTGCCTCTTCCACCTGAGGTTTTGACGAGTAGGGGAAGTTACACTTGAGGAATTGGCCTTGCATCAATGGCAATCGGATTTTTAGTTAGTTCCAGCACCGCAGTGAATGCACGACCGTGCAGTTTTGATACGGAGTTGTGTGTGTGTCCGAGCGTAGCCCAATAGAGCTTCGAAGATAAATATACCTGCTCTGTGGTATATTTGTACTTTGGTTTAAGTCCGGTCAGAAGGACCTTCTCAACTCGGAAGGGAAGGATGACTCATTTCTGACTGACAATGAGGAAAACTTCCTCCTTTCTCTCCTGGTGCCAAGAACCCTGACCTCTGTTTCTGTGCGTGTGGAGGGAAGGGGATCCATTCCAAGAGATGTGTCTACACATCTGCTTTTGTGTGCAGTAATGTTCTGACCTCTTTTAAAACAAGAAAGGAAAAAAGGTTGATTTTTCTATAATTGATATCTAAAAAGGAATTTAAAGCTTTTTATTAAGTATTAAATCTTTCTTATTTGCATGTGCAGTGAAGTGACCAGCATTTTGTGTCCGAAAATGAAACGATGTGAAACCTGCCTTAATGTGTTTATAAGTATTTGGCTTCACCATGGGTACCTTGATTGATTCCTCAGTCTCTTCTAGTACATCTGTGAGCATATTGGGGTAACTTGTGGCTAAAACTGGACTTACCTGGGGAGGGAGGATAGAGAGAGTGGAGGAAGGTGAGCGTTTATAGCTTGGAGAATGTGTTGACTAGGTTACAAAAGTTATTTTAGTCTTAGGGTATCCATCGCATAATTCATGCGTGGACATCTCAGCTGAGAGTACAGTATAAAGTGGTAGATTAAATATTGCGCCACTAACCAATTGTACAAGTTGTTGGTATCCCAAAACTTGGGGAAGAAAGTAGCTCCCAGAGCCTTTATCATGTAAGAATGGTTAGCAGTGACAGCAAGGGACCGGGGGAATCGCCTGGGAAGTAATAGCCTTTGGGAGTAGTTCAGCTTAGTGATCAGCTCCTTGAAAAATATCCCATGCCAAAGTGATTGATCCTCTATTAACTCTTTTCTTAGAAAACAGGTTTGAAAATGCGAAATTCTTTGATATTGCTCATTTGGAGTACTGCAAGAAGACTGAATTGTACTTTGCTGCTGCTCTGCCAGGTATCGCTGTGGGGAACCTCACCTGGTACTGCAGCCAGTGAAAATTATTTTCCTTTTTGAACAGTCTGTTACGGTTATGATTCTGTAAATCTGTCCTCTTGTAATTCATTGTGTTGAATTAAATGTTTCTCACAAAGCAGAGATTCTTCTAGTCTGCGTCAAGCCCCCACCTGGCGTTTTTTGTGCCGTGCCCCTTGCAGTTATTTCAGCGGAGACGCTCTTGCATTTTTGTGGTGGGCTCCGCTCTGAGATTTGGGTCTTGGTATTGGGGACCCAGCAGAGGGGAATAAAGAGCGAAACTTGGGGAAGGCCCGCTTGGTTCCTGCTGCAGAGTCCTCCTGTGTCTCTCCCGAGTAAGAGGCTGCCAGGGTGTCCTGCCTAGGGGGTGAATTGCGATACCATAGAATCGCAGAGCGGTTTGGGTTGGAAGGGACCTTAAAGACCATCCGGTTCCAACCCCCCTGCCGTGGGCAGGGACACCTTCCACCAGACCAGTGGTCCTTTGAATCTCAGCTCTAGCAGTTTGTAACCCACACTAGAGGTGTTCTTTTGACCCTGGCAATCTCGTTCTGACACTATTTCTTTTTTAAAGCTTGTTTGGTATCTAGTGATGTCTTTATCTACTTCTGTTTGAATATTGTAAGCATATGTAGCACCAGAACTTGGGTGACTGAGATGTTGATGCTAATATTTTGATGCATTGAATATCAGGTTTAAATTGTTGCCAACTTGTGTGCCAACTCTTCTGTTTTCACTGCTCTACTTTCCCTGTCCAGCTCTCTCTTTCCTTCAGTCCTTTAAAAATTTTATTAATGTTTTCATTCGTGTGGAGGAGTTGATGGTTCAAAGCTCCAAAAAGGGGCCCAGGATTCCGATCACATCCAAAGAAACTTAAATAACTTTACCTGCTTATCAAGACAGGTAAGTAAATAAAATACTCCTTTTAAATGAGCCTCGTGTCTTTCCAATGTTGCTGCAATATTGTCTTATCACAGCTTACTGCCGCGGACCTGACTGAGGGGCATGTAGTGGTCTGCTATCACTGAGTGTCTCTCCAAGATGGAGAAAGTGGCTGTTACTTGAGGTCTATCTCGTTAAGCAGATGATTAGCCAAGAGCGTACTTAAGTAATTGAGTGGAATTGGGGCAAAACTTACCTTTTATTACTCCAAAGCAGTTGTTACATGAGACCCTAACAGCGGCGTTGTCTGTTGTTACGTCTGAGATCCAGTTCATCTGCTTGGAGAAGCCCCAGTGAGGGGATCCTTTTGAAACTGCCAGTTTTTTCCCTCAGTGGCAACTTCCCGGTGCCCTCAAGCGTTACAGATGTACATAACGGGGAGCTGCCACGTGGGCCAGCCTTAGGTTTGCCCGGGGAAGCGGTTTTGATTATTTTCTGCTAAAACAATAGCACCCAGCTCTGTCGATGGGTAGTTACATGGATATAGTTTAATCCTCTTTGGAGGTAAGATGTATCTTCATGGTCCTTATGCAGCTTCACTAAGGAGTAGGACCTTGTCCAGTAGAGCTGAGGTTCTGCATCTTTTTCTGTAGACAGTGTCATTTTGGAGACGTACCACCTGAGTTCACAAAAGCTGCATTTCTTGTGCTGTGTCATGCTCAGTCAGGTTTTTCTTGTTTTATCTGGAAACGGCAGCCTGCCTAAGTCTAGAGGGCACTGCTTGGAGGAGATGGGAGGATGGACTGGTTTCGTTGATGTTGGTAGATAGGATGAAAACCCTCAAAATGCCGTTTTACTCTGCAAAGGTAACTTTGTGAAAAGAGACTCCTTGTTATTTAAAACTCCTGATTTTCTCTTGTGCAAAGTGTGTTGGAGCTGATCCATTAAGATGGCTAACAAAGTTAAAGGGAATGTAATTATCTCCCTGTTTGTATTAGCAGTGTCATTTTCCCTGAATTCTAGTTGGATGAAATTTTGTGCAATCAGTAAAAATAACGAATTTGCGTGGATATCGGTACAGACTGGATTTGGCCTGCAGAGCTTTCGTAGGTGGTTCTGCCCGGGACAAGTTAGCCTGATTCATGTCTGAAATTGGACTTGCTGAACTGGCTGTTGAGCAAGAAAAGGGAGGAGTTTTCTTGCTTGTAAACTGAGCACATCAGGAAGGGAAAACGGTCACGAATGACATGGCTGGACGCCGGGAATGTGGGCACGTTAAACCCCGCGTGGGGAGGCGTTGGTGTCCTGGCTGCGAGTTGTTTTCTAGTGATAATATTACATCAGAAATATCAGAATTCACGGATAAGCGTACGCTCCTGTTCTGCTTCTGCTGTGGAAGGAGGCAAGCTGAAACGAACTTTGCAAATTGGAAAGGTGGTTTTTGTCAGTAGAACACGCTCCAGTTGCTGTGGGAGCTGAAAGCACGCGCTGTGTACGAGGCAGGCTCTGCTCAATGGCAGCTTTTCACCACCGCTAGTTTATCAGCTGCTGGCCGAGGTGATTTTGCTTCTGTATAGCTCCAAGAGACTGCCCTACTGCTCTTTCCTATGAAGTAGGAAAAGAAAAAAATGTTGAAGGCGAGTATGAGTGAAGGTTTAAAAGAAAAAAATTACATGTATTTTGCAGCTGTCTCGCTGAAAACTAATTTTGCACAAGCTGGCTGTGGTAATTTGGGGATCGAGGGAAGCGGCAGCAAGCTGGCCTGTTACTTAAAGGTTTTGTTGCCTCAAATTAGTATTTGTGCCCGTCCTCGAAAGGCATCCAGTTGCACAGCTCAAGGCTGCATCCCCATAATTTTAAAAGACTAAATCCCCTGGTGCTGCTGTACCTTCCACAGAGCAGCAGGGTCATTCTGTCGCTGCGGGACGTGTTGTGTAGCCACACGGCAGCCGCCTCCCTGGTTTGAGACGTTATCCTTCGGAGCAGACAAGCTGGTCACCTGAAGCTTCCTTCCCAGGCTTCTTTCTGTTGTGGGATATTAATTCTGACCTTCTATCCTTAAATTTCCTGACCTAATACTTAGTCATCTGTGTCTAACTTTGCCTTGGATCCTGCTTATCACCTTCTAATTATTTTTTTTAAGATCATGATGAAGTATATTCTTGCCTTTCTTCCCTCCCGTTTGCTAGTGCATGTTACCTCTGTGGCAGCAGTAACACTTCTGTACGTGGGAATGTGTTTTAGCAACTTACTCCCTTGGTGGCTCTTCCTGATGGAAGAGAACAGCGTGCCCGACCCGGCCGCTCCCTCCAGGCTCCCCAGCGGCACTTACGGGTTCGGAGCAGCCGTTGCAAATGGCAAGAGGCCCTGGGACCTCCAGTGCAAAGTCTTGCACTTCAAGGAAGTGTGGCCATGTCCTCTGCTCCCAGATTTCTCACTGCCTTCTGTTTAGATCTGTTCCTGGGCTCTGATAACCTACCTACACGCTCGGCTCTTCCTG